CTGAGTACTGGCCTGTTTGAACAGTTCTTTCCAGAATTGGCTAATAAAAATCCGGTCCCTATCCGACACAATTGTCTTTGGAAAACCATGTAACTTGACAATCTCCCTTATAAATATTTCAGCTATATCCTTAGCCGTAAAGGGGTGAGAGAGGGGTATGAAATGGGAGTATTTAGTGAATCGATCAACAATCACCTAGATGGTGTCATACCTCTTGGATTTGGGAAGTCCTGTGATGAAATCCATGCTGATATCTTCCCAAATATGATGGGGAATAGGTAGGGGCTGTAGTAGGCCAGCTGGTGACAGTGCTTGATGTTTGTTTCTCTGACACACATCACATTATGCAACATACTTCTGGATCACACCACGCATCCCTTCCCAATAAACCATACTTGCCAATCGTTTGTATGTGTGCAAGTAGCCAGCATGCCCTCTTATTGGTGAGTCTTGATACTCCTTAAGTAGCATCGGAATTTGGGTCGATTTCTTTAACAAGACTAGCTTACCTTTGTAATGTAAGCAGCCTTTCACTAAACTGTAGCCTTCCACACTATCCGGTTTAATAATTAGCTGCTGTACAATGTGATTAAGTTTGGGGTTGGCTAGAACTTCCTGTTCCCAATCTTCAATCCCATCATGCTGCCATAGAGAAAAACCTCTCAGCTCCATCTGATCTTCTTGCCTTGATAGTGCATTTGCAGCCCGGTTCTCCCTTCCGGGCTTGTAAACAATCTCAAACTTGAAGCCTAGTAATTTAGAAACCATTTTTGCTGATTTTCATCCACTATGCGCTGCTCCAACAGATATTTCAGAGCCTTTTGGTCTGTCCTGATGATGAATTTCTGTCCCCACAAGTAGTGTCGCTACTTCTTGACTGCCATCACTATCGCCATAAGTTCCCTCTCATATACCGAGCTTTGTTGTGCTCGATTAGAGAGTTTTTGGCTGAAATATGCCACTGGTCTACCACTTTGCATTAGTACTGCTCCTACTCCTGTTCCTAAGGCGTCTGTTTCCAGTTCAAAAGGCTGGGAAAAGTCAGGCATAGCAAGTACAGGGAGGCTGGTCATTGCTGCCTTGAGACGTTCAAAGGCATCTTCAGCTTCCAGGGACCATTGGAAAGTATCCTTCTTTAGCAAATTAGTGAGTGGGCTTACTATTTTGCTATAATTCTTTACAAATCGACGATAATACCTAGTCAGCCCTAGGAAACCCCTAAGAGATTTTACATTCTTGGGCTTAGGCCATTTTACCATGCTTTCCACTTTCGCCAGGTCTGCTTGAACTCCTTCTTTAGAGATAATGTGACCAAGGTACTCAATTTTGGCTTGGGCAAAATTGCACTTTTTCAGATTCATCACTAACTGGTTCTCTTTTAAACACGTTAGTACAGTATGTAAATGCTCCAAATGAGAGGTTAGATCACTGCTGTAAATAAGTATATCATCAAAGAATACTAATACAAATTTACGTAAGTATTGGCGGAATACCTCGTTCATCAATGACTGAAATGTGGATGGTGCATTTGTGAGCCCAAAGGGCATTACCTTGAATTCGTAGTGTCCCTCATGTGTCCGAAAGGCAGTCTTATGCTCATCTCCAATTTTGATCCTAATTTGATGATATCCGGATTTCAGGTCAAGTTTGGAGAACATTGTGGCTCCCTTCAATTCGTCCAACAACTCGTCAATGGCGGGTATAGGTAGGGGTGGAAACAGGCCAGACGGCTTGTCAGGGGCCTATGGCCTGGCCTGTTTCCTAAAAAAGACAGGCTCAGGCCTGTTTGAAGGCCTGTTTAGTTCAATAGGCTAGGCTTAGGCTTTTTAAAAAGCCTGTTAAGCCTGTTAGGCCGGCCTGGGCCTGTTAGGAATTTATAATTATAATATATGAAAAAAATTAATTAATGCTATTATTGTTAATGTGCTATTTTAATTTATTTTTTAATTTTAATATATAGTTAATAGCTTAATCTTTTCTTAGATTTTGAAGTTTAGATGACAAGTGAAGATAAAATATAATTTAAAATAATAATATCAATAAATAATGTGATTTTTAAATCTTAAAAGTATAAAGAAAATAGGAATAAAATTTTTTTCCAAGAATGATAAATTAACTAACTTACGTATTATGTTAATTTAAGTATGATACCCTCTTTATTCATTATAAAATTAGTATTTTTTTTCCTCTTTATTTATTTGTCTTAATTTTAATTTTTTGTGTCAAGATATAGAATATGGGCAACCAGAGACAAAAATTTGATTCATGTCTTTGCAGCTGTATCTAGTGTGTCACGCTGGGAATTGATAAGCCACAGCATGGAGGAGCAGCTCCTTAATCCGCATTACAACAAAATTTTTTTTCCTCCAGATCGATATATGATGCTAAACCGAGACCGAGATAACGTAGTCTTATTCCAAATTTTAACATATAATTACAATTAGTTTTCAATAATATTCTTATAAATTATAATTAAGATTTAAAATAGTACTTATGATACTAAAATTTAAATAAAAGACAAGACTAAAAATTTAATTATTATGTACTTTTTTTTAATCTTAGCTTTTTAAAAATAATTATAATTATAATTTGAATTTTTTAAAAATACAGGCCTTTTAACAGGCTTCAGGCCAGGCTCAGGCTGAAAAATAAGCCTATAACAGGCCACAGGCCAGGCTCAGGCCAATAGGCTCCAAAACAGGCATGGCCTGTTAAAAGCAAGGCCTGGCCTGGCCTGGCTTGTTTCCACCCTTAGGTATAGGGAACTTATCCGGAACTGTAATCTTGTTCAAAGCTCGATAATCCACGCTAAACCTCCAACTTCCATCTTTCTTTTTTACTAGCAGAACCGGACTGGAATAAGGACTATTGCTCAGCTGAATAATCCCACTTCTCAGCATTTCTCTCACCATATTCTCAATTTCATTCTTCTGTAGGTGGGGATATCAGTAGGGCTTGATGTTGGGTGGTTGCTCCCCAGACTTAATAACTATGGCGTGATTATGAGAGCGGGGTGGTGGTAAGCCTTCAAGCTCCTTGCAAACTTCTGGGTACTGACCCAGTAGTTTCTTGATTTCAGGGTCACATACCTCTGTATTTTCCTCCTCGATAGTCATCCATCCCACGGTATTCAATCAAGTACCCTTCCCCTTTCTTCCGTAGTGATCTAACCAGTGACTTGAGTGTGGTTTGGGTTCTGGTCAGCGTTGGGTCCCCTTGCAAGCAGATTCGTGCCCCCTTCTTACCAATCTTCATCAAAGTCATCTGACTCCAGTTAACCTTTACTTCACCCAATGACTTTAACCATTCCATCCCCAAGACGACATCAACTCCCCGTAGTGGAAAGGGTAGAAAGTTTGTTTAGCACTATACCCTTGGATCTGAAATGGCAATTCCCTGCAACATTGGTTGCGTCGTAACGTGTAACCATTGCCCCATAGTGATACTGTATTTGATGATTCATCTGTTGGGATTTTTCTACTACCTGCAGTTCCTTAGCTACAAAATTATGGTTGCACCGCTATCTATCAGGAACACTGTTTCTCGGTCCTGAATTTTTCCTCGGACCTTCATAGTATGTGTATCTCCAATCCCATAATGGAATTTAGAGATAACTCCATCCGTGCGGCTCCTCGTGCTATCTGGACCTTCATCTTTCTCCCCAACTGCTTCTGTCTCCTCTGTACCTCCGTCCTCTGCCATATCAAGAACCATAACTTGCAGGCTCTTGTTTCTACACACATGATTAGGGCTGAATTTATCTTCACATTTGAAGCACAAACTGAGTTCCCTTCTGCGAGCAATCTCTGTGTCTAAAAGCCGGTAGGATCTCCTGCCATTTTTGGTCGTTGCAGAGTTTGTTGAAGATGCCCCTGCTCTTGTGTCCGAAGCTCAGGTTTCGGCCTTCTTGGGATGACTTGAACTAGGTGAATGGACCGAATAGGTTCGGTTGGGTTCAAATACATGGGTTACTCGGGTTTGGGGTGTTTGGGCCGAATCCAGTTTGAACCCGTAAGCTGAGCGCTGCATTTTAAGTGTCCTGCCTTCCCGTGTTCGGTCCAGTGTTAAGTTCTTCTCCTCTATGCAAATCGCGGTGATCATTACCTCCTGTAATGATGTCACCGTTGTCAACTTCAGCTCGGCCCTGATCTCTGGTTTCAGTGCATTTCGAAATGCCCCCACCAAACATTCTTCCGGTGCGTCTTGAAGGGGGACGAACAGTCGTTTGAACTCTTCGACCAATTATGCCACTGAACCTTCTTGTTTAATCGCAAATATCATCTCATACTCATCTCCAATCTGTGCAGGATGAAACTGCCGAAGGAGCTCACACTTGAACTCAGACCAGCTCCTAATCAGAGCCCGTGCTTCCAGCCACTAGTACCAGTTTAGCGCCCTCCCTTCCAAACATACTACTGCCGCTTCCAATCTTTCCAATTCAGCTACTGAGTTGATGCGAAAATATCTTTCTACCCTGAAAAACCATCCGAGTGGGTCCTCTCTGTTGAACAATGGTAATTCTAATTTTCGGTATCTTCCATAGTCTGTCCCAGTAACTCCGTGACCTTCAGGGTGCTCCCTGCGACTTGGTTCTCGCGATTCTTCCATATGAGATTCTGCTGGTTGTCTCTGGTTCTCTAATATGAGAGCCATTGCATCTTGCAACTCCTTGATCATCTCTTTGACTCCCCCTATTTCCCTGGTCAACCTCTCATCAATCCCTTTGACCTTCCTATTCAACCCTCCGATGACTTCCTTCAGTTCGTGCATGCCTTCCTCCAAGCCTGCCATGTCCCTTCAAGTATCTTAAAAAGAAAAAAGGAACAACCCGCTCTGATACCAAATGATACGAACCAAATAGAAATGGACTGAAGAAACATTGCTGAACTGTGATTAAATCAAAATGTACTCCTTTGTTATGATAAGAGAAGTGATACAACTCAAAATATGGCCCCTGATACACTCCTAGTTTTTGAGAGGCCAGATCCCTCCTAACTCTCTCAACACTCAAAAACAATCCATACCTCCTCCCTTCCCTCAGCGTTCCAAAATACCCTAAAGAAAAGGTAACGGCTAGCAACAGCCTGCAGCCACCTCGATTGTGGTCCCTTACTCTAAAATGGTAAGAATACCAAGTCAAATCTCTGAACCAGCAAAAGGTATGTTACCCTTTTTAAGCATTCCTCTATATTTCCTTTTATAAGTATGGTCAGCAAAGTTGAACGTATCAAATACCTATCTAGCCTTAGCAAAGATCGAATAACTTTGGCAACCTTCAGCCTCTGTTTTACATCAAGGTAACTTGATGGTTCATCAAACAAGTATATTTCAGCATTCCTGTTGGCAGCCATTGCAATGGCAAGCCTTTGGAGCTCCCCACCTGAAAGTACACCAACTTCACGATCTATAACCTATTTTAAGTCAAGATCATCACAAAGTTCTTGCTCCATATGTCTCTCATTGTACTGGTCCAGTGTCTCCCTCACAGTTCCTTGTACGGATTTAAGGTGGCGATCAACATATTGAGGCTTTAAAATGGCCTATACAGATTAAAAGAGTTCAGAACAATATTCATGGAGGATCAGAAAACAAGGTTAACTCTCTATTAATGATTTCTCTCCTAAATTTGACTCTTCAATTTCAATTTGAGATTATGATAAATGCTTGGGGTACTTGTCAAACTGCAGAAAAATGCTTGCGCAAATGTCTGTTAAGATTTGATATATGAGTCAATCCTGAGTTTTTTTTAAAATAAGAGTAAAGAGGTGCAATGCCAAACAGATAGTCAGATCAGATATAAATATTAACATTTGTGTGCACAAGTGGAATATGGAGAGAACCCATCCAAAAATTACCTCAAAATAAGGAGATTACATAAAAATAGACCAGATATCTTCATATTAAACAGCAACATGAACAGACATATACATCACCTTTAAATCAGCATTGTGGAGATGAGTAAAATATTTTTTAAGTCCGGGTTTTCGAAATTCCTCTGGGATCTCTTGCCAGTTAGGTGGGTTCTGGAAAAAAAAGGGGGGGATAAGAGTAAGAATCTCAATCTCATAAGTTAGGAATGATGCTTGAGGACTGATACTTACAGGACGACCCAAATTAGGTTTAAGTGTTCCGACAAGAACACTGAGAGCAGTAGACTTTCTAATGCCATTGCGTCCGAGCAGACTAAAGACTTTACCTGCTCTAGGTATCAGCAAACCATGGAGTTCAAAACTGCCATGTTTATGAGTACATATACTGGACAATAAATCTTCGATATCTGTGGATGTATGTTGGGCCATTAAAACTGCATGTTAGGCAAAACAGATTTATTAGTGAAAAGAATCAATGAACATAAGAAGTTCACCTAGTCGTATAGGCAATCAACAGATTAGAGTTCTTTTCTTCAGTTTATATAGTTCAGTGGAAGCAACTCTAGTGTCGATCTCTTGGTCTCTAGCTAATTCAAATCAATGAAGATAATGATCAATTTAGACAGAAGACTTTGAATGAGATGTGTTTATCTGATTAACTTTTTCTCTTTTTCTTAGACCGTGATTAGCAGAGGAACTGGATGAATAAGAAGATAATGAAACTAAGACTAGAAACAATGAAAATATCACAATCAAATGCAATCCTTCCAAGAGTTTTTTTACCTTTCCATTATTACTTCCCTGAAATCTTGAGTTTAAATGCAATCAGAAAATTAGAAGAGCTAAACATTCGAGAACAAATAGAACTCCTATTTGGTTGAATCAGTCAATCGAATCACAACTACCTAACTCACTGAATCAAGATAGTGCGAAAGGATTTGCAAAGAATCAGAATGAAATACTCAGCCTCCTATAAGTTCCAATCACATAATGTTCATTTATAAAAATGAAACACAGCACGACTGAAACAATTCTCAATCGCCTTACAACTAGTTCAGAAATTGAGAACAGAAAAGATGAAATGAACACAAACTTCCTGTCAATTCAATAGTTCAGGATTGGTGTCCACTCTTGGAAGAACAATAGAATCAGCCGCTCATGGTACCTTGCTCTGCTCCACGAAGCTTCTTCACTGATGATGGCGTCCTCTTGAGAGATAAAAGATGAACTCAGGATCGGTGAAGGACGGAAGAATCGAAAGAATATCTGAAAGTGAGAATGAAGGAGAGAATTTTGTTGCCTCTAATCCAATCTCTCGTTTTCTTCTGTAGAAATGCATATAAATATCCCCGTTTCCCTTTGGACTATCGTCCTCTTCCTTCTGCTTACTTCAGCTTCAACTACACAGGTGATGTGGAATCCTCCTCAACTGATTTGGTTATGTTCTGTTAAAGTTTCCAGCAAGGTTTACGTTTCCCGCTCATCAGGTTTTCCAAATTTCGCTTTGGAGCTCAAGCAACCGATGGAATCCTCTTTCCTTTAGTGATGGAAACTGTTTTCAGAAAGTAATGGAATCCCTTTTCCTCTGGACTCCACTTTCCCTTAGAAGGGAATTGTGCTCCAGCTACTATAGGATTACCATTCTGCCCCTGTAATTAAGGAAAATTCCAGAAATATTTCCTTCTTTGAAAAATTCATTAAAAACTCCAATAAAATATCATAATTGCCCAGATTTTCTTCCCAAGTGCATTATCACAATATATAATCAATAATGAAAATATTGACCAATTAACTCCCTAAAATAACCCCAAAATGCACTATCTAAGCATAATGAAAATGTGGTTTATCAAATTCCCCCACACTTGAACTTTTTGCACTATGGGCAAAACAATGGAATAAGATTGACTCTCAAGCGCATTTACTGATGAAGAATGCAAAATCATGCTCAAGAATGAATTACTTGTGTTTATCAATCATACCTTCAAATACCATCAATCCAAAACAGTCCCTTGCTAAAAGATCAATCGTAATCATGCAATTCGACCAAGGGAAGCAAAAAGAAGATGAGATTCCTTGCAAGGTTAAGTGTTTCTCTCGCCCTCATAGCTGAAGGTTATTTCTCTCAAAACCATCTAGTTTAGGCTTCACCATAGGTTTGTAACCATTCTACATCTTCACCACTTATATGCTATAAGGTCTTGTGAACCAAAAGGTCTTTGCAAGGGTTGTAATGTGGGAAAAGAGAAATGATGGAAATGAAAATGTATGCTAATAATCAATAGAACACTGCATACGCATCATGGTTCTGTCTAAGGCTCAGAAGCTTATGCTCAAATCAGATTTTTGTTGTTCAATATAGTTGAATGAATATAAGAATTAATATGAATGGACTCCTTCACTCTTGCCACTCGATCAACATTTTTTTTATGCAATTCTTTTCTTCATGCCCTTTTTTTTTACATCAGGCTTTTTCTTCCCCCCCTCTTTTTTTTAATTTCCTTTTTCAGTGTTTTTTTAATAATATCACTACTACAAAAAAAGCTAATTGTAGCGCTTATTTTTTTTTTTACTTTTATAGTATTTTCAAAACGCTATATTTAAACCTGCTACAAAAGATATTGGAAATAAGTTGTAGCATTTTTGAAGCGCTACAAAATATTTTTTTTATTTTTTTAATATGGTAACTTCCTATGACGCTTTTCCGAGAAAGTGCTACAAGAAGTTCATCTACTGTAGCGCTTTCTCAGGAAAGCGCTACAGGAAGTGGATCTCCTATAACGCTTTCTCAAAAAAGCACTACAGAATATAACTATAATTTCTGTAGCCTTTTCTTAAAAAAGTGCTGCAGAAGTGTTTTTTGTTTTAAAAAATTAATTGATATTATGCAGCATTTTTTTAATAAAATACTATAGAATATATAATTTTTTTAAAAAATATTTTCTATATAATTTCTAAAACCACATTTACAGAAATTTTATATATAAATTTCTCAATTGTAGTAAAATTTAGAGATCAAATATATACAATAAAATTCTCAAAACAACATAGCTAATTAATTAGCAAATTTAGATTACTACTGTGTATATTAACAACATTTGTGAACAAGATCAATCTAATTCTAATTCTACAATATAATAAATATGTCTAACAATGATGGTTACACTTACTAGCATTATATTTTTATTTAGTTCCCAACTAAATGCAAAACATAGAAGAGGAGTTATAGAACAACCTACTTATATAAAGTATTAGTGGAACACATATCTACATGACTCTTCAATGACTTTATTTATTCAGTTGTCAGTGTACTTTGTGCAACGTGCATCTTCATAATATTGCTCAGTAGTTTACATATATAGCCAATTAAAATCGCTAAAAAAGTAACTATTAGACAATAATTAAAAGTAATGAACAATATAAAGTTAAACTAAAACTACTTACCTTGTCAGGAATAAAACTTTGATGATGAGTAATAATATCCTTCGTGAATCTCATAATATAGTAACCACAATTATTATTATTGGGTTAGAAAAGGCACTGCCATAATATCATCAAATAATTAAATCAATTTATGAATGTAAGTGTTTATTTTCAAAACTTGAGTAAATTTAAATACCTTAATTTTCTTCCACATGTAGTTTTTTTGCAGTAATATCATCAAATTATTATACTTATTAATAACTTTTTATATTTTGTTATTTATTTCAAAATAAAATCAGCAGTATAACAACTTAAAAATGGAAGTTTCCCAGGTTCAAGCCATCTCTTTTAACTAATAGTATCTAATCAACCAATTAATCCAGCGCAACTCAATGATTTTCCACAACTAAAAACAACAACAAAAAATTATGTTTGCCAACATATATCAAATCTAAAATAGAAAGCATTAAAAGCCAACAAATTAAATATTGTGACATTACTTCTTTAATTATTCTTCTTGATGTCTCATATTAAACAATTCATATGGCATATGTTATCAATTTTTCACGGCCCATAACAATAAAGATAATATTTGCCAGTATATTATTCTACCTAAAATAGAAAAAAAATTATAATTATCACATACTTTCACATTTAATTGATAATAATTAATCATATCTCACTAATTAATTTTTCAACATATTTCAAGTTTTCATCAGTGAATAATTTTACAAAATCTAACCAACTAAAATAAAAAATATTAAGCAAGTTAAAATATTTATTACTAACAAACTTAAATTTGTAAGCTTTTAAAATAATGTTAGCTTAAAAAATAAAAGTACTTACAGTGAATTATAGATTAAGATGAACTAATATTGAGTGCCTTGTAAAATAATAAATAAAGTAAAAATAAATGAATAATTTTACAAAATCTAACCAACTAAACTAAAAAATATTAAGCAAGTTAAAATATTTATTACTGACAAACTTAAATTTGTAAGCTTTTAAAATAATGCTAGCTTAAAAAATAAAAATACTTACAATGTATTATAGATTGAACTGAACTATATTGAGTGCCTTGCAAAATAAATAAATAAATACAATAAAAAGAGAGTAGGGACGGGGAAGAGGGGTGAGGACAAAAGGTGCAGAAATCTACAATTAAGCAGAACTATATTAAATGCCCTGTAATAAATAAATAAGTAAATAAATAAAGTAAAAAAAGATTGGGGATGGGGACGAGGGGTGAGGACAAAAGGAATAGAAATGCGAATTAGGAAAGATGGGCATGAGAAGGGAGTCGGAAGGGGAAGTTGGGATAGGGATAAGGAAAGGGGAGTTGGGAAGGGGGGGACGGGAAGGGGGTGGGAATGAGGAAGAAAAAATGGTGTGGGGACGGGAAAGGGGTAGGAATAAGGAAGGAAAAATTGGGGTGGGAATAGTGGGTGGGATGAAAAGAAGGACCGTGATATGAAAAGTAGAAGTGGGGAGGGAAAATAAGAGGTGGAACACTTGATGAAAAGGAGGAGGTGAGTGTGGAGACAAGAGGGAGTTGTGTGGAAATGGGGAGCAAGAAAAAATGGTGAAGATGAGCAGTGAGAGTGGTGAGGTGCGACTGTGTGGGGGAAAAAGAGAGAGAAAACGAAAAAAAAGGAGGGAAACTAAAAAAGAAATTTACCACACTTGCTGTAGCGTTTTCCTAGGAAAAGGCTACAGCAAGTGGTAAAAAGACCTTATGTAGCGCTTTCTTACGAAAGTGCCACAACAAGTGGATTTCTATATTTTTTTTATAAAAGACCTTCTGTAGCGCTTTCCTGATAAAGTGATGGGCTCAAGGGGTTAAGCAATGGATTTAATGTGCATGGGTTGCTGGTCGGGTTAAAAGGATTTTGAATAAAATGCCCTTGTCATCTTCATAATTCCAAGTGCTAATGTGGTCTTGAATTAAGAATTGAGACAAGGTATAGGAAGTTACCAAGCTAGATGACATCACACACAATTAAGAATGA